ATTAAATACTATTCACCCAAACTTTTGAAGTCCGACAAAACAAACAAAAAAAAATTTAATAATACAAAAATGGTCCAATAAAAGGAGACAAAAGTTAAATATTAATGGAAGAAAAAAATCATTTGAGTTCAGTTTTATTCTGAAGTTTTGACTGTGGGAATGAAAAAGGTGACTCATAAGGTTAGAAATAAAAAAAGAGTGTGCTCAGTGTGTGTGTTTAAGAGAGACARATGGATGTTTTTGGTCAAATCTGCCGTGTTTTGATGGAAGTTGCAGTAATAAGCCGACAGACGCACAGAGTGTTTTCTCTCTCCGCGGACGGTGTTTTGCCGTTTTGCGCGTGCTCGCCAGTGTGGCCTAAAAACAGATCAATCAACCCCGGATCGATCACCCTGAGAGCCAATAGGGGGCTCCCATCCCTGTGCCTTGCTGTCATTGGACAGGCCAGGCAGACTGGAGCGACCCATTCAGCGCAGCTGTGGGGGGGTTTGAGACGCACGAGCATCAGAACGTGGGATTTAGAGCCTGTAAAAATGCGTWAAAAGCTATGATTTTAAGGATGGATTGTTAGAAAACAACTCCAACACTCAAATTTATTTTGTTATTATCTTAAAGAATAATAAATTTTCCCATTTAAAACACATCTTTATTGAATTTTAGAAAAAGTGATCCTATAGAAGTTGAATGTAAATCTCACACATATTAAAGCAAAGTTAAGGTTCCTGCWTGATGTATGATCGCAACTTGATCTGATGTGGGTCGAATCCCTCAAAAAGTAGTGTTTAACTAACTAAATATTTCTTTTTAAAATTTTCTTGCTTTTGTAAAGTGTCATCCTTTTATTTACCTTCTCTATAATCAAGACGCGCAATTAGATATTTGAGAACAGCTCATTTAAAGTTGAATCATAAACTGGAAACGTTCAAAGTAAAGTCAGTTGTTAAACCCGCCTCCATGTGAGCAGGGTTCGGTGTCTGAAAGTGAAGAATAAAGCCGGCTGGACGTGAACGTGGAGCCACGGATGGATGGTGAAGTGTTTAACCCGGTGGCAGCTCCAGCTCTCGGTGCGCCCGGGTCCTCCCACCCCTCCTGCTCCGCGCGACTTGCTGCAGCCCGGTGCGTTGTGTAAGACGCGACCTGTTATGGCCACCACTACTTCCGGGTTTCAGCAGTCTGGTCCAGATCCTCCGCTCCTCCTCAGCCTCAACACACACATCCATTGTACACGAGGAGAAAAAAAAAACGGGGCAGGCGGCTCGCGCATACATGCATTCACACACACACATACACACACCTACACACACACACACACACACGCACACGAGGCTCACAGACACTCCACGCACAGCATCGATCGTGGCTCCTTTAAGAAAAGCCTAAGCCAGAATTATCACCCCACCTCCTCCTGATTTCCTCTGGACGCTTTTTGCATAAGAAAATCAAGCCGGGAGCCGAGAGTGATCAAAGAAAACCAGAGGAGAGCTGCTTCATTTTTTAACTCTGACTGTGACCATTTTACATTTAGGTGGTGCTGATCCCGTGGAGACGCGCGTCCGGACCATCATTCATCCGCTACTTTTGACAAGCCTCTCGCGCTCTGACTGACAGGCGGAGTGACACCGAAAAAGAAAAAAAGAGAGGAGAAGAAGAAGAAACACGAARAAGAAAGAAAGAAGAGCAATGAGAGACGCCGGTTTTGTTTGAGAGGGGACATTTTATTTTCCTTCTGGTTTTGGAGAAGGAGCCCCCCTCTGGGTGCCCTGCTGACCGAGAGGAGAGCAGAGAGGACGGAGTCGCCGCGCCTGGGCTAAAACTTGCGCTGAGAGCAGGAGCTGGCTTCACGGTTCCGCGAGGAAGAAACCAAAACAAAACAAAACAAAACAAAAAAAAAATCGGGATTTCGGCTTCTCGGGGTTTTTTTTTTCTTTTTTTTTTCTTTTATTTCCTGTGTGGATTTTCTTTCTCTTTCTTTACGCTGGCTTCAGAGGGGATTTACTGAAAGGACGACCCCGGGAGTGAGGAGGGTTATGGCGCAACGGGTACGTAAGGAACAATCCTCCCGACCAAAAAAAAAAAAAAAAAAAGTTTCTCTGAAGTCCACTGCGCTTGAATGCAATGCTTTTCTCTGTAACGTGGCTCAGTGACACACACACACACGCACGCACGCACACGCGCGCACACACACACGGTGGAGAAAAAGTTTCAGCTGTGTGCTTAGAGACCAGGTTCTTCTGTGTTTTGGCACCGTGTTTACGCACAGACGCACTCGTTTTGCTCCACAGGGAAAATATAAATGAAATAAAATAAATAAATAAAAACCGGCCCGCGGTGGGACACAGGACGCGCGATCAGATCTCACATCGGCTTTTAGTTATGACAGACCAGTAACTAGAAGCGAAGTGTGTGTGTGTGTGTGTGTGTGTGTGTGGGGGGGGGTGTCCACAAAGGCAATGCAAATCCTCGAATTTCTTCCTGGGATGTGTTTTGTCCAAATAATAATAATAATAGTAAAAAGAAACAAGAAAACTAAACTTTTATTGTTTTATTGTTCTGTGAGATAATAGAGCTGCATTATTATTATTTTATATATATATATTTTAAAAAAGTAGCAAACACTTTGCTACATTTGGAGCCTCAGCACTGCTCCTCACGCGCACAGTTTTGGGTGTAAAGTCGGGGGATGTTGCGCGCGTTTAGCTGCTTCTGGGTTTTGGCACTGGAGCTGCACCACGCTGGGGTTTGCACCTCTTTTGCCTTTAGGGTCGAAACGCTCAGCTTTAAGTGATAATGCATTTTACTCTCTCTCTCTCTCTCTCTTTCTCTCTCTTTCTCTCTCTTTCTCCCTCTCTTTCCACCCGACACTTGTTTGTCACCTCTTGAGAGCACTATCAATAATTCAAGTATATTTTCAGTCGACTAAAGAGGCTCACGCACATAAATGTACGCCAACTTTAAATTACTTCATTCATTTATTTTTTTTATTATTTTGCTTGGGGAAATCTATATCAG